TTAAAAACCATTGCCAAAGTAAGATTGGTACTCTGGGGTGAAATATATAGGAGTAGTTAAGCATCAGTGTGTTCAGTACTTACTTATTTGTTTAAATTGTACCCATAGAAATGTGAAAGGGTAGGAAATGTTCCAGGAGACTTCAATACTTTGATTAGCTCCTGCGATATTACATGGGCCTTCAGTTATTTGTGCTTGAGGTGAATTATCAAATTGCAATTCGGCTGTATAAACTGTTGCAAGATTCTCTAAAACAATAAAAAAAAAGAATTTTAAGACCATCATGCCGAGTTCATTAAATATTGTTCTATTGCACACCTAAAGCTTGGCTTTATTGTAGCTAAAGTGAAAATTCCTAAACAAACGGGACAAACGCTTTCAATTACTAATAAATTTCTTTACTTAACGCTTGAAAATTAGGTTTAACTTTAACGAACTGTCATAGAAATAAACAATACTTTGTCTTTTAAGATACTAAATGAAGATTCGTTTAGTTGTAGACATAAAACAAGTTCATATTTCTATTAAGTTAAGTGTGTTAAATACATATGAAACAAGACTAGATTCAAGTGAAAACAAAGTATATATTTTTATAAGGGGATATGCACGTTAAACAATCACAAAATTTCTTGTTTTTCATCATGATGGGTTTCATGCACTTTTGGATACTTTGTCCATTTCGTATTCAGAAAATAAAAACTTAAAAGAAAAAAAATGTATGTGTTTAAATTACGATTTGCATGACCCTAATAATTAAAAAAAATCAATGTTTCTAAATCTTTCAGGCTCTCTATGAAACGTTTTATATCCGTCATCATATTGTATTTGGCATTATTGGAAAGCTGTATTTCTCATTTATTTGATAATCTTAATTTCCATTATCTTAGAAACACCCAAAGCTTACAATGGTATTTTCGTGACCTACTTTTCGATACTTTCGGCTGTTTTTAACACTTAACTAAAAAAGCCTACTAATTTTATATTTATTAAACAATGCCCACCATATTTTTAGTAATTGTTCTTCAAACAAAAATACAACTTTTGTCACGAAACTTTAAAATACTAAAAAAAAATACTATGTAAAATTCTTACTAGTAGCTATTTCAAAAAGTTATCGTGACATAAGTTTTAATATATACTGAAATATAAGCAGTTTAAATTTTATTTGTATAGGTGCATAAATAAAAAAGCCTTAGCATTTTTAAAAGTACTGAAAAAATGCGGAGGTGTTTTGGTGCGCTGACCATTGACCACAGGTGCTTTGAACATAGGGGGTTAAACCATAGGTGGTTTGACCACAGCGGGGCTTTGACCATAAGGACTTTGACCATAGGTGGTTTGACCACAGGTGTTTTTTCAGCAGAAGGTCTTTGATCACAGGTGGTTTGTCAACGGGTGTTTGATCACAAGCGTTGTTTTCGGCTTTGACTATAGGTGTTTTGTCCACATAGGGTCTTTGATCTCAGGTGGTTCGTCCAATGCTGGCGTTTGATAACAAGCGCTTTGTCCATATATGATAAGGATTAATTTTAAAAGTTGTGTAATTATATTTTAAATTGCGGCAGGATGTAATAATATGTTAATCCATCTGTCGTTTAGTTAACCATACAAGTATTAGTTCTTTGACTATACTGTTGGCATATTTTTTTATCCTTCATATATGCTATGTATTTTCAAGTACATCTGCATTATTTTTTGTGAAACTTGTTGTATGTCGCATTATTTGTGTTCCATTTATATTTAAAACTAGCCGTCCCAGCCATGCCCTGCACTGGCATCTCTAAAAGACGTATCTGTAATGGACCATAACTTGTGTGTTTAGTAATCAGCATTTACCCGGCATTGCCCACCCTAAGCACAACCAACAAAAAAAAAAAACACAAAAAACGCAAACATAACACTAACACAAAACAAACACAAACACAAACGAAAACACAAAAACAAACGCAAAGACAAACCCAACAATAAACACAAAGAAAACACAAACACTAACGCAAACAAAAAAGTAAACAAAAACAAATCCAAACGCAAGCACAAACCCAACCACAACCAAACGAAACCAAAACACACCAACAAATCTCACGCAAACATAACGCAAATACAAATACAAACACAAGCTAAAACACAAAAACAAACGCAAACACAAACACAAAGAAAACACAAACGCAAAGAAAAAAAGCAAACGAAAAAACCCAAACACAAATCCAAACGCAAACACAACCACAAACGCAAACCAAAACTCAAACACACAGAAAACACAAACGCAAATATAAACTCAAAGTGTCCACAGTCTAGCCCGGGGCGCCAAATCGCACCATGACGACGTGCGGCGTAACCGCCTGATTCAACTTAGTAAACGACTATAGTACCCAACTTATTCATAGTCTTTTGAACTCACTTACGCGAACGTAGGTACCATTGCAAACACGGGAAGGCCCGGGGCGCCAAATAGCACCTTGTCGGGGTGCCGGAGGACGCCCGGATTTGATTAACATAAAGACTATAGTAACCTTTCTTATCCAAAGTCTATCGCACTGTTTAAAACAAAATTATGCAGCATAGCGCTCACATGGTAGCCCAGGGCGCCAAATCGAACCGTGCAGGGGCGCCGGCGGACGCGCCTGTTTCAATTTAGTGAACAAAATTATAATACTCCAAGCTTATCCGTAAATCGAAAGAAATAAACATATAGGATTAAATGTTATTGATTTTAAAAATAATTAGTAAACAGTATGTTCAGTGTATAGAATAAATAAAAGGCAGTATTAAAAATACCAACGACAGTGCACTTAATCAATCCCCGCACTAATTATTGTTTTTCCTAACACCAAAACAAAGTAATAAAAAATAAATTCTTTCTTCCCCCGATTTAATGGGGTTTTTTTTTAAGGGAAGTAACTGTGTTTTCCAAATCAAGGGACGTTATGAGAACTAAAGGACAAAATGCAAATACATTTCAGACTCAATTTTAGAAATTTTATAAACGTTGATACACTTTTTTTTTAAATTTTATGTAATGTTCCTAATTGAAAATTATTATTCTAAGTATATAAAATGAAAACTGTTTTTAAAGACTTTCAATAGTAATTTTTAAATCATAGATTTAGACCATGAGCACTTTAATAATCTAATACTTGAATCCATCGACGTATTGATTTTTTTGTTTTTTTCTTATATTCCATTGTAATACACGACAAACATTTTACTTACAAACATACAGAATTGAGCTTTATATATTAGATAAATCTATGTGGCCTAGTACCAGCCTTTATGTGGAGACTAAAATATTGTTCTTGACTTTTTTTAGTACATGTTTATTTCTAATTATTATTTAGCTCTCAGGAAACATGTATGAAGTCGTATTTATTGTATCACAAATTAAAATTAACTATTTATAATTTCTATTTTGAAATCTATATATTATGGTTAACACCCCTGTGTGGTCAAAGCCCCGTTGTGGTCAAAGCCCTTATGGTCAAACCCCCTATGGTCAAATCTCCGCTGTGGTCAAACCCCCTATTGTCAAACCCCCTATGGTCAAAGCACCTGTGGTCAAAGCACCTAGGACCGTCTTTTGTGTTCCCATGACAACCAAAATTGTTTTCTACCTTTTTTTTGCTGTTTAGTACTTACTTTCATGTGCCAAACATAATAAAAGTATTCAAAATGCTTTAGATCTTAAATTGTAAAAAATAGAAAAAAATGTGCATATCCCCATAAAAGTATGTAATAAAAACAATTATTATTAAATTTTAAAAACTATAACATTGTTAATAGTATAAAATTTAATGCCTAAAAGGATTGAGCACCAAGTAAATTACCAGAGCTGTGTGTGATCTCAAAATAAAATTAGTACTTTATACAGGAAAATGTTTAATTCTTTAAAAAATAAGCATCAAATTAACTCAAATTTTATGTGACATAGCATTGATATCAGGTACTGATGTAAATGAAGTTTTGAGGAGAATGAGTAACTAAGCAGTTAGGCTGCAAATATTAATGTACAATGTAAACATAAGGTTCAAAATTGAATCATTATTGCTTGTCATTAATAAGATACCACTCATCTAGTGACTCATGGGAGTACAACACTAGTCGTATAATGATTGACAATCTCAAGAAGTAGAGGAAATTTATAAAGCATATTTCAGCTGTTCTTGGTGTTTTTTTTTTAAAGAATGCTAATAGCAAGACACAAATGATTTGCTATGGCCGTAATAATTTTGCAGTGTGTAAGAAGCTGAAATGAACCTAAGTCATAGGTCAGGGCAAAGGATCACGAGTCTGCATGCTTTAAATGAAGATCTCGCTAATCTGTGAGTTAATTTTTGTAACTTGCAATGTTTAATGCGTTTCAATGCATTATTAGCTTTTGGCTATATTTGATTAACGCTGTGTCTATAATTATATCAATAGCTGAGTGCTAAGCAAACATTGTTTTATTCTAAAACCGATTATAATAATATAATTATAATAATAAACAATCGAAATGTTATGGCTATTAGACCGGCATTAGCAAAATTTCTTAAGGTTAAGCATCATAATTTTTTCTTCTTTTAATTGTATAAGCTATGGCCGTGATAATTTTGTAGTGCGTATGTACATACGTAAGAAGCTGAAATGAACCTAAGTCATAGGTCAGGGCAAATGATCACGAGTCTGCATGCTTTAAATAAAGATCACTCTCTGTGAGTTAATTTTTGCAACTTGCAATGTTTAATATGTTTCAATGCAATATTAGCTTTTGGTTATATTTGTTTAACGCTGTGTCTATAATTATATTAATAGCTGAATGCTACGCATACATTGTTTTATTCTAAAACCGATTATAATAATAAACAATTGAATTGTTATGGCTAATAAACCGGCCTTTCTTAAGGATCATCTTAACTTTTTATTACATACATTGTAATGTGTCATTTAATTAGAGATAACTAAATATACTTACGATACTGACAAGCAGGACCAAACCATTCACTGTCACACCTTGACCCATTGATGCAGGTACTGTCGTCTGTACAAGTGTTGTTTGTACAGTGGCACTGGAGCTTACAGTCTTGGCCAAACCATCCAACATCACATGCTTTGATATATTAAAATATCAATATAAGACTAATTTTTTTTGGTTATAAATGGTGTTAATAGGTCAGGCTTAACCGTTGTGGCTACCGAGAGTATAAAAAAATATACATATTGTATATCGATATATTAAATGTATCAGTATGTGTAGGTTTAAAAGAATTGGACTTTAACCAGACATTTTGGCCACTTTACAACCTCGCCAATCTGTCCGAGAAACAGCCGACTTCAGGCTTTGGTAGCAAAAAAACATTGCTCAACAATTCATCGAAATAATTAAACTACAATCGAAAACCGTGTAACGCTCTTTTAAGAAGATATGCTTCATAAAGAATGCATGCCACTAGAATGTAATGTAACAGTGTTCAAAATATGAAACCAACATATTACAATCAAAAGATTCAATAAACAGAAGTAACTGGTTCAAAGAAACACAATATTCTGACCTAAACCGATCTTAGTGTAGTTTCTTCAAATAACAGATAAACGGCTTTTGAATGAATTATTTTTGTTGTTAGTAAAAAAAGTGTAATGGTTTAGCAAACAAAAAAGGTAAATTGTACAACGATAGAAAAAACTATAAATGTAAGAGTAAGCTGACAAGAGAGAAGCGTCCATGTTCAAAACACGACCAGAAATATTGCCAGGCATTTAAAGTTTTGCCTTTCAGTTAACTTTGAATTTCTACAGTCTTTTTTTAAAGTATTTGTCTCAATCGTGTATTCTTTGTAACGTTAAATGAAATAAAACTGGGATTGATCTCCCCTAAACTTTCTCGAATATAACACGACGGATAATGGGAACTTGGGATATAGACATCAGTTTAATCCATTTTAATTACTTAAACTTTTAAAAAATAGAATAGAATCTCGTAGAAGAAATAATTGCGCACCAAGGTATGCCAAACAATCGGTGTATAATAGTGCCGGATAATATTGTACTTTATAAATTTACATGTGTTTTTTTTTTTGAGAAATCGGAAATAGCAAACATTACTACTTCCGTTCAACGTAAATAACTTTTAATTTGCCAGAAGGCAAAGAATTAAATCTTACACTGATACGTGAAATTTAGTTTTACTATCTGAAATAGTAGTTAAGTTATAGGCTTTTAAAAAAACCAGAAGTAGAATAAGTTCTAATTCCGGTTACCGGAAATCGCTGGAAAATTAATGCTGAACTATAAATTTGATATAATACTTGTATATGCCCTTTCATCAACCTAGCTGTAACGGTACTCAAGTTTACAGACACACACACACACACACAGAAATACGAACATAATTGCAAAGCCCAGTTTTTCCGACTCGATTACGCATAGAACGCTGAAATTTTGATACATCTACATTTATTATTTTTGCCCGATTAAAATAAGACCTTATACTCCATATATGATGAAGTACTGAGGTGTAAAACGATGAAAACTGTCAAAATTTCGTGCGATTTTTTTAGCACGATTACAATACTTCCTCTATACTCTGTATATGAGAAAGTAAAAATTTGTGGAACAAATCTTCCGTAATACTAATATTCTAATTTTATATTCTAATCAATAGTTGTAATGTAAAATATCAAACAAATTATGAAATAAAAATAACCCATTAATTCCAACTACCAATCATGCAGGCTAAAATAATTGATACTTAAAAATCACAAAACGCGCACACAAGTCAAATATACGGCAAGCTATGTATACACAGTAGCGTTCGCAGGAGGGGAGCAGGGGGAGCGGGCGCTCCCCCTCTGGCCATTTTTAGCAAAGTGGCGCCTTTTTGGAAACTTTTTAAACTCAAATTTTTAAACATTGATATTTGTTAAAACATTATCTTTGGTCGGCACATCTATGCAAATCACAAGATTTATTACATGCAGCAATTAATTATAACAGTAAAAGACCAGTAGAGTCAACGTTTACAATACGTATTAGCAGCTGTATCAGTTTGTCATTCTAAAAATAACCATTACGATGCATTGCAATGTTTAAAATACCTCAACGGTTAGTACCACTTGGCAAGAGGGGTGTTAAGTTTAAGGCAACTGTATAATGTATTTGCTTACGAATAATTGAGTTACAAAATGTTACATATAAAACTTCACACATAATTACATTAATTTCTTTATATATACAGTCTAAATCGTGTAATTGTTTTTTAAATTACAATATAGACACATATACAACTAATGTGGCACTTCTATTTAAATTTACTTATGGGCAAACTGCGTAGCGGTGGGGCAATTTTGACAAGGTCAACAGCGTCATCACGATGAAGTAGTAGTATTAAGACAGTTTGATTAAGATTACAAATTATATGAAACAGTATCAACTTTCTATTAATTATTATTATAGTTTACTAGATCTAGATCTATATTATATTTGAATAATGCTATATTTTGTTTAAAAAAAACAACAACTCAATTTAAACTAACACTGATCGCACAGTTAATTATCCGCTACTTATATAAATCTATTTATTGAATCAGTATACATGCGTAATTGAATATGTATGGGGTCGTCCATAAATGACGTCTCACTCGTATGGGGGAGTGGGGGGGGGTCCGTAATTTTGTGACGGTGTGATGAGGGGGGGGGGGGGGGGTCAGATGGTGCGACGTCACACATATGCATTATAAAAAAGCAATGTTAGAAAACGAATTTTAGACAATATTTTGCGTTTTAGAAAACTGTCTTAATAAATTGAAATAACAATTGATTAAAATTATTCTATTTTGACAGAGTTCAGACAAAATTTTGGAAAAATATAGCTGTTTAAAAAAGTTCAATTCAATTTTGAGGGGGGTTGTAGGCTGAGGTGTGACGTCATTTTAGTGGGGGGGGGGGTCTAGCTTTTTGTGACGACGTGTGACGGAGGGGAGGGGGGAGGTCAAAATCGTCAAAAAAAGCGTGACGTCAATTATGGATGACCTCTATGTTTAGAAAAGTCATCTAAAAACTGACGCTATGTTCACTCTGAGTTGGTTATCCACCCACACCTAACCACCACAATTGTGTAGAGCAACATTAATGTCACACCTAGGTATACGCTGGGTTGGATAATTGACCTAAAGTGACTGGACAGTGATGAATGAAGTTGAACCCCCTCCTCCCCCCCCCCCCCCCAACCCACCTACAACTGATCTGTTAAGTACATTTGGGAAAACGCGTAATAATGTACCAAAGTACCATAGCTTTTGAAACGTGAATATTGTTTTTGCAATTACCAGTAAAAGGTGTGTGAGCAATACAGTGATCTAACCCATACCTACTCATTATGTTAAAAAATTATCTCTAAAGAACACAAAAAGTCAGTAGCTACATATTAATATCAAGATATTGATTATTTCCCCTTTTCGCTTGTCGTAATAAATGTCCCAGGAATTATTATATAATTTAATTTTTTTACAAGGATTACGAAACAGATATATATATATATATATATATATATATATATATATATATATATATATATATATATATATATATATATATATATATAAATGAATTTTTCTTTTGTTTTGTCGGCCTACATTGCGTGTTTTTTTTTTAAATTTCATCAGAGTGCTACTTTAAATTTATTTTACATCATAGCGAAGTACTAACATACATCTAATATATATATATAAAAGATATATATATATATATATATATATATATATATATATATATATATATATATATATATATATATATATATAAGATATTACAAATTAGGCGCCTTTTTTGCTATTTTCGATCCCCCTACACGGAAAACCTGGATACGCCTCTGTGTATACATTACTAACTGGCCTCATCCTTCTTTACATCACAAAAACACACATACAAACAAAATCCTTTTGTATGTGCTTATGTAACTAAGATAGGGGGGAAATGTTAGATAAAACAAATCTCAAATCTTTAAGAGAGTACAAGACGACAGAAACATTCACCCCATATAATTCTTCAATAATTGCCTTATAAAACATATGCGTGGTAGGCCTACCTGAATACACATGCATGATTTGAACACATATAATTACAACAGCAATATTAACTCGTCTGGCCATTGTAACCTGAATGTGAACACAAATTATGCTAATTAGTTGATGGTTTAGAATTATAACTATACACATTTATAATGCATTTATTTTTAATGATTACAGTGAGATTTCTTTAAAACTTGGTATTTATATTTTAAGCTATTTCAGGTCAGTGGCGGAACTAGAAAAAAGGGCCATCCCGCAAAAAAAAAATTGTAGGCCCTCCTATATAAATATATATATATATATATATATATATATATATATATATATATATATATATATATATATATATATATATATAAATATATATATATATATATATATATATATATATATATATATATATATATATATATATATATATATATATATATATATATATATATATATATATATATATATATATATATATATATATATATGGGGGGGGCAACAAACACAAAATACGAACATGGGATACTCATTGCTGGCCTGTTTTTTTGAAAATAAAATTGTTTTTTTTTTCAATTAAAACAAATTATATCATGGCATATGAGTAAGTGCTTTAGTCTGTTGTTTTTTTTTACGAATTTTGAAAATCAGTTTAATTTTTATCTCTGCTACAAGACCTCATAATATCTGGGTGGTAAAGAGAATATAAAACATGAAAGCTTTGTATAAGTAATGGTGTCTCGTGTTATGTTTATTCTTATGTTTTTTTTGTATCTATATTATTAATTTTAAATACACTCCTTTATATACAATGTCATTATTTAGTAAGTAATTTATTATAAAATAATAATTAAGGAAGTAATTGCTTTTTATTTTGTTTTGAACAAATCTATTAAAAGGAGCTTATGAGCACCCCTATTTGACTATTTAAAAAAGGGAGTTAAGTCATGGAAGTGGTTTGAACGTTTGCTTAACTTTGATAAGTGTGATTGTAGGAGAAAGAGGACTCGGCTTAAAAAACAAAGGGAAAAAGAATATACAAGAGGGTGGGTGTGGTGTCTATAGAAGAAAGATAATCCAACCGCAGCAACAGGAATCTTTTTACAAAACAACCATCAAGTCAAAAATGCAAGATAATAAGTATTTTGTTAATAATAAAAAAAATTATTGTGGTCGGCTAAGGGCCCCTAAATGGCGTGGGCCCCACCGCATTGCGGGGTCTGGCGGTACTGTAGTTCCGCCCCTGTTTCAGGTATAATTTCAGTTTAATTTACTAAACTCTAGATAAATTAAAGTAAATTAAAACAAAAAAATCTTACCTTTAGTAAATACTTTATGACAACTGGGTCCGAGACCTAGTGAAACATTCACTTTACTTCCCGTTTGCTCATCTAATGAATTTAAATATGTAAAAACATCTTGTCTTGATCCGTTATCTCCCTTACTCTAGTGCATACTTGAGTATGGTCTTAAAATGTAAACGAAGCAACTGTAATAGAGAATGACCACTTATTGCTAAAAACAAACTTTATCTTAATTTAACCGTTACACATGTCACTGACTCAACTGTTGAGCATCAGAAAACATGACAAAACCGGATGCTCTTATGAGAAAATAGTCGGAAACCCCTTGTCATCTATTTACATACGATGGAAAATCCGTTTTTATGAGTTGGACACTGTCATACATTTGAACCAGTGGAGATCACAAATAACTCGACAACTCCATAGAGTATACTAATAAGTTTTTAGAGTGACATATCGCTGAGTAGAAACAAACACTTTAGATCTAAAAATAGTTTATTTGTACTATTTGGAATTTTTTTGCTTGACCAGTTATACAATGAGAAACTATATGCAGTAATTAATATCATTTGGCCACTTTTTGTCTTAATTACTCTGCTTATCTTGTTAATAATTACAAATATAAATACAAATAAATATAAATATAAATATTGTTTCAAAGTAAAAAAAAATACAATTTCAAACTTGAAGCTTATTTAAAAGTAATTTTTGTTCTAAGAGAGGTGGTATTTACCCACTTTACCCTTGCACAGAGGCGTATTAAGGGGGGGTGCGGACCGCACCGGGTGACACCATTTAGCGGGGAGACACCAAGGCAAAAAAGTAGCAAAACATATAGAGAAAAACTTGAGGTGGGGGGGGGGGGGTGCAACTCGAAAGTTTGAGGGCGTGGAAATCAAAAACTTGAAAGTTTGTCCCCGGGAAGGGTCGCTACGCCTCTGGGGGGTGACACCATTAAGTGCCGCACCGGGTGACACCCGACCTCGCTACGCCACTGCCCTTGCATGCGTATATTTCATGATTAAATAACACTTAAAACATATGTCCGTGATGATTAATTGCTTTAGCGCATGCGTATTCAACAGGTTTTAATGAGTTTTGAATGATAAACCGATGTTGAAATGAATATGCTAAATAAAAACTTACAAAATAGTTTTAAATGTTAAATAATCACAAAACTTTTGAAATAACATTTTAAAGTTTAAATATTTAACAACAAGATTTAACTTTCCCCAAAAGCACAAACAAAAGCAAATTATTTATAGTGGAATGATTGAATTGTAACATAAAGTACATTTTAAAATCAATTCAACGTGTTATATCTACTATAAACAAAGCATTTTACTTATAAAAAATCGAAAATGGCAAACTTATTTCCATCACTTATTAATTTAAACACAAACAGTTAAAACACTTTTTTTTTCAAATTCATAAACACATTTTCACATCAATAAACATGATGTGTGATTCGAAAGTACATATCCGTTAAAATTTACCTTGAAACTATTATTTATACGTTATGTACACTATCTGACATGCTCAACATAGAAAATCTAAATATGGAAACAAACGAACGTAGAATTTATCGTAGAAAGTGGGCCCTAGTACTATCAACATGTTTTGCTCTACTGATGGTGTGTTGTGAAAATAGATAGTATAAAGTGAAATTATTATTCATCACATTTTTAACAGTTCAGTTCACAATAGTAGGCGGTTCTACCTTTAGTCTTAACGGTGGTTGGTAAGTGGTAAATCTATCAACAGCGAGAAAGAGAGAGAGAGAGTCATATACATTCATAATATTATGTTATATATTTAACAAAGAGAAAGAAGTGTAATACTTTCTCAACGATGTAATCAATCACAAATAAGGAAAATTAAATTCCATCTTTTATCAATCCAAAAACATTACAAATGTTATCCTACACTTTAAGGATGGAGGTGTGGCGTGATGGGGGGGGGGGAGGTGGATGTAATGCTCGGCCCCTCAACCCGTAGTTGTGTCTGTCTTTATAATGTATCATACAATGGCGTGTTCATCTAACATCAGAGCTAAGATGGTGCGATAGTTTATGCTAGCTGCGAATCATTTAGGAAGCTGGACAACTTTTACAACATGTTACAACATGATTGTTGTCTTGTTAACCACGTAAGTCAAAGTTGTTTATTTCAGTCGGCTTTAAACAATTGACTTTCAAAACGTTGTCACAAGACCACTTAAACCTCTTGAGAAGCTGATACTTCTCTCTCTCTCTCAAGTTTTTTTTGCTCACGAACAATTCTAAAACATTAGTCATATATTTTACTTGAAGTAGTTGTTATATTTTTATTTGAACGCTCTTTTTTTTCAAAAAATATAAAACGCTTTAGAAAATTTTGTTTTTGACAACTAACCTTGCAGGATATAGTGGAGAAGTTTTTATCCCCCAATCTTATAACCATGTATACTAATACAGCTGTTTGATGTGACAAATGATTTTATCCCGGATTCATATAGTCACACTATACCAATACAGATGTTTGATTTGTTTTTTTAACATCCTATTCAACATGCTTGATTAAACATGTTTTTACCAGAGGCGTAGCTAGGCGAGGTCGGGTGGGGCTCCCCGGGCGGCGAACTAATTGGGACACCAAACTGGAAGGATAAAAAATAAAAAAAAACTCAGTTAAAGTCCAGGAAATAGACTATTACTTTGTTCTCGTGGTTGATTAAACTGTTATCTATATCAATCTGGTAAAAATTTAATTCAAGACCCTCCAAAGAATTTCCAAAGGGGGGGGGGGGGGGGGCTTTTTTACCAACGAGTATAACTATAATATTATACCGGGCGCCGAAAAGGGTCGCTACAACTCTGGTTTTTACCAGTTGTTTTTTTTACAGCAAGTCCGGCTGTTACATAAATTAAAAAAAAGATAATATTTTAAAATCTGATTTTTAAGAATATGAATAAATGTAGCTAATCGGATAAATGCGAAAATATAAAGTGTATGGTTCTTTTATTTTTTAATTTTATTTTAGATACACACGTATAGAAGACAACACACTACGAGTTGCATGCTCTAATTAAGATTAAAACAGGACACCTTGATGATTCACTGCTTTAGTACGACATGTTGTTATCCAAATTGTTTTCTAAAACGAAATTTTAAATCTCAGCTAAAACGTGTTAAACTGAAGTAAAATAGTATGTCTATGAATATCATTGCACTTTTTACAAGCTTTTATTTAACTCGCTTCCTCTGTCGTCAATCGTCAGTCGTTAATCTGTCGTCAGTCGTCAGTCTAGATCGAAACGCTCGAGCGAAAATTCGGACACTTCTACTTGACACATACGGTTCACAGTTGACACGTGGTCAAGACATGAAGACAATGCAATCTGAAATTAAATTTGACTTGATTGGATGCCTAATTAATTTTTTACCAATTAATTAAATTGTTGACCAAATTAGTACAAGTAAAACAAAAGAAAATAACAATAATCTTCATATTTTGTTTTTGATGTTTAAAAATGTACATAATTCAGTAATATAATTAGTAATATACTCATTGAGGCTTGGCTGGAATCTTTGTAATGTTCCATGATGATTTTAATACTACTTGTAGGCTACCCATACCTTAACCAGTATTAAACTACCTATATTTAACCCGTTTCTTTACCACTCATAGGCTACCCATAACTTTACCAGCAGTAGGCTACCTATTGCTTTACCATCGCTAATGCTAATCTAAGGAAGTAGAAGTCAACAAAGCAATCAATATTAAAAGCTTCTGTCTTTGAGAAATGTTAGGCTATATTTTTTTTACAATGTATGGGCTATTTCTTGTCAACCAACCAGCATATTTTTAATAAAACAGAAATTAAGGACTTTTTATCTATTTTATTTTCTACTGTGACAACGCAGTGTTGCCTACTTTTATCAAAACAATACAAATCAAATGAAAACACTTGTAACATTTGTTTCAAATGTTTTCTTCAGTCTTTTTGTTACAAAATCTAATTTATGTTGAAATTGTTTTCGTCTATACAGCTCTTAAATTTAACTATTATAAAAATCATTCATTTTATTTTGCTATGTAAACATTAACTGCTAAAAATAATTTTTTGAGTTTAAGTATACATTTCTAATTATTTTCATTAAGCCTAAGTTATAAATGTATGTTTCACTTTTGTAATACAAACATTGATTGGCTATACGGGAACTCCGTGATCGATAGTTATTTGTTTTAAAAACGTTGCAGTTAAAGTTTTTAAATAAAATACTGCTATTTTAAACAATTTGGCCTAGTTCTGCCATTTCGTTAACATTTTGTATAATAAAAGTTATGCTAGCCAGTCGCATATAATTGTTATATATATTATGTCGCCATTACCACGTGAAAATCAAATAGCTTTTGCATTTTAAAAAGAATTGTGTTTAATTATTGAAAATACTAAAACATCAAATACATCCAATCTATTTAAAGTCCGATAAAAACAAATATTTAGGATTTTATAACCATATTACTTTTAATTACACCGCGCATGATTTTTAAAAATATTTTTTGGGCCTCTCAAATACCTTTAAGACTATTCTCTCTCGGGTCCATTGCGAAGAGAAAGTCAACTATTCACAATGTTAGATTGTAGCTTCAATTTTATGAATAACAGAAACAAAACAATCTTGAGAAATTAAAAAAATTAAAGGAAACTTTGAACTGTTTTCTAATGGCACGACTAAAATGGAGTTTGACTGTTGTCCCCCTAAAAACATTTGTCTATCAAAACTGTTATTATGTAAATAAGTAAAGCCGAATCATTACAAACATAAATAAACTTACACATATAGTTGAAGTAGTTTATTTTTTTAATATTTAACTTTAACCCCCCCCCCCGTACGAAATGGAATTTATATTGCAAATATGTACTTTTAACATTGTTCGCTCGCCGCCTCCCCCCCCCCCCCCCCCGAAAAATTTAGTCCCCCCAAATAAAATATCAAGTGACCCCCTCTCCCCGGAGAAAAAAGTCTAAAACAAACGCTGCCTATTTGTTTAAATACCCTAATGTAAACAGTAAATTGAGATACGTTTTTTTTTATAATATGGTGGTACTAGT